GCTTACCTCATTAGCTCAGTGCACTTCAGTTTAAGTCTCTGTCTCAGAAGCTCTCATGTGTGTAGAGTTCCCATACATATGTAATTAATTTTGGTTATTTTTTCCAGGGACTCTACTCATGTTGATTTAATTATTAGACCAGCCAGAAGAACCTAGAAAGGTAAAGGAAATCTTCTTCCCCCACAGTATATACCACAATTTGTTTACTCATTCATCTGTTGATGAAAACTTGGGTTGCTTCCAATTTTGGGCTGTTATGAATAATGCTGCTACGAACATTCATGTATGTTTGTGTGTGAACATATTTTCATTTCTCTTGGGTATATACCTAGAAGTAGAATTGCTGGGGCATATTATAACTAACTCTAACTTTTTGAAGCTTTTCCAGACTTTTCCGTAATGGCAATACCATTTTACATTCCTGCCAGCATTGTCTGAGGGTTCCAGTTTCGCCATGCACTAGTCAGCACTTGTTACCTTTTTTGATTATGGCCATCCTAGGGGATGTGATGTGGTATCCTGCTGTGTTTTTCCACTTAAAAAGAATCAGAGTCATCCTTATGCACAGTTTAAAAAGACAATGCTTAAAAGAGCAAATGCCCCAGCTCTCTCCACAACCATTTCCATGAAGCAAATACTTTCAATTCCTTTAGCTGTTTCTCCTGGTAGCTATCTTCTATTTTTGGTAATATGCTTTCTACTGCTATTTTTAAAATCAGTTTTAGATATCTCGTGACTTCTAACTATGGAAGATGAGCATTTAGTTCTCTCATCTTCCCCCATGTGCACACAAATACACACTCTTTCTTTCAATCTCCACAGTATGAGTATAATCTCCATTTTTGGTTAAATCAATAATGGGTACTTACGTTGTTCTGATTATGAATTCATAATCCTGTGGTGTACTGAGATTATATTTACTTAATCATACTTTTCCCCTTAGACTCTAGATAACCTAGAGGAAAAGTTTTCCTCTTTAAAAGGTTTCCTCAGTTTTCTACTGGTTAATTACTACATCCTCAAATTCTGCAAGACAACTAAGAATCTCAGGGCATATTCAAACCTATGAACATCCCACTATATATATATATAATTGATTATGCTATTACAGTTGTTCCAAATTTTATTTTTCTCCTCCATGCATGCTGTACCCCCCTACCAGCATTCCTCCCCTCGACGTAGTTCATGTCCATGGGTCGTACATGTAAGTTCTTCGGTTTTTCTATTTCCTACACTATTCTTAACCCCCCCTTGTCTATTTTGTACCTACTATTTATGCTTCTTATTCAATGTACCTTTCCCCCCATTCTCCCTATCCCCTCCCCTCTGATCTCCATTTCTATGATTTTGTTCCTGTTCTAGCTGTTTGCTTAGTTTTTTATTTTTATTTTTTTTAGGTTCAGGTGCTGATAGTTGTGAGTTTATTGTCATTTTACTGTTCATAGTTGTTGGTCATCTTCTTTTTCTTAGATAAGTCCTTGTAACATTTCATATAATAAAGGCTTGGTGATGATGAACTCCTTTACATTACAGTAACTTTACGTTATCTGAGAAGCACTTTATCTGCCCCTCCATTCTAAATGATAGCTTTGCTGGATAGAGTAATCTTAGATGTAGGTCCCTACCTTTTATCACTTTAAATACTTCTTTCCAGTCCCTTCTTGCCTGCAAAGCTTCTTTTGAGAAATCAGCTGATAGTCTTATGGGAACTCCTTTGTAGGTAACTCTCTGCTTTTCTCTTGCTGCTTTGAAGATTCTCTCCTTATCTTTAATCTTGGGGAATGTAATTATGATGTGCCTTGGTGTGTGCTTCCTTGGGTCCAACTTCTTTGGGACTCTCTGAGCTTTCTGGACTTTCTGGAAGTCTATTTCCTTCGCCAGATTGGGAAAGTTCTTCATTATTGTTTTCACATAAGTTTTCAATTTCTTGCTCTTCCTCTTCTTCTGGCACCTCTATATGATTCAGATGTTGGAACATTTAAAGTTGTCCCAGAGGTTCCTCAGCCTCTCCTCATTTTTTTGAATTCTTTTTTCTTCATTCTGTTCTGGTTGATTGTTTATCTCTTCCTTCTGCTCCCAATCGTTGATTTGAGTCCCAGTTTCCTTCCCTTTACTGTTGGTTACCAGTATATTTTTCTTTATTTCACTTTGCATAGCTTTCACTTTTTCCTCCATTTTTTGACCATACTCAACCATTTCTGTGAGCATCCTGATTACCAGTGTTTTGAACTGTGCATCTGATAGGTTGGCTATCTGTTCATCACTTAGTTCTATTTTTAGAGCTTTGATCTGTTCTTCTATTTGGGCCATATGTTCTTCTTTTAAACTCGGCGTCTCCTCTCTTTTTCCTTTTTTGTTTTGTTTTTTGTTTCTAGGAGACACTCCTCCCAGAACCCTCCATTCACCTGCTCTCATGTGGACTGAATGCTTATGAACTTGCTGCACAGCTACTTTCAGAACTTTCCTCCATCATCCCTGGCGTCATCACCAGACTTCCCTGCTGTGTTGCATCGCCTGTCTCCTGGATCCCATTCCTTATGCTGTCTTAGTTTTATCACTCAGTTTGCAAGAAGATATCTTCCAGTTGCTTCTTTATTCTTCTATTCCTCCATCGCTATGTCTTTTGTGTTAGATATTTTCTAGTGTATCATTTTAATTCCCTTGTTAATTTTAGTGTGTTTTCCCTTGTCCTAGTGATTGCACTGGTGATTCCAATAACACCTTAACTTAAAACAATGCAGTTTTAATTAAATACCACCATAATTCCCATAGCACACAGTTGTTTATTTTGCCCTCATGCTACCATGGCATGAGAGTTCAGTAGTTGTGACAGAGCACGTTCCTTTATGGCCTGTGAACCGAAAACTTTACTGCCTGGCCCTTTATAGAAAAAACCAGGTGGTCTTGACCCAGCACCCTGATCTTCCCAACCCCATTTTCCATCTCCTGCCTCCGAGTATTAAGTCATCTGTTCCTTCCCTGGACTCTGACTATGTTTCACCTTTCCTGAAACCTAAAACTTAGTGGCAAGTGCTAAGAAACCAAATGAAAGGGCACAAAACAAAGTGAAAACTTCCTTTGTTCACATCACTGTATTTAAGATGCTTAAAGCTGTGATCTGTCGTGATCTATGAAATCTAATCCTTCAACAGGAAATTGCTCAGGAGATTATTACCATTGATTTGGTAATTTGGACGTTTCCCGGGGTAGTTCCCTCATGATCTAGTCCCAGGCCCACACAGTGCAATTCCATATGAGCGTTGTGTGGTAGGCATGGGTTGTTTCTGTCTGACCAGCGTCCCATCCTCTGATACGAGTTCTTTGATTTTTATTTGACACCAGAGATGGGGACATGATGTGAGGCATGGTGTGGGCAGAAAGCTGCCAGGGACCGTCCCCTGGAGGGGGCCTGCCTGAGCTCCAGGCCCAGTGCAAAGCAAGCAGAGCTGACAGGGCAAGAGCAAGCAAGTGCCAGTGGCACCGGCTGGCCTCTGCATTCTGCCATACTTTCGAACTTCCTAGTTATGTGCGCCAAATAAATCCCCTGTTCTGTGTGAGCCCATCTGAGCTGTGCCTCTGGTGCTTCTGAGCTGAAGGAATCATGACTGATGCAGGCACTGAGAGCTGAGTCTAGGTCGCTTCTGGGAACCGCAGAGCCCAGCAGCCTCACAAGGACCCTTTCTTTAAGGTTCAGCAAAAGATGAATAAACTCTTCTGCTTTGGTTCAGGACCTGGAATAATTTCTGTCTAATGCAGGATCAATTTCAGAACTAACAGGAAACTTTTAAAATTCAGGTTACTGTCTATCTTGAGAAAACAAAAAACCTAATGGTTTCACAAATGATTAAATATGAAGAGAAAAACGTCAAGTACAATTTATTAAATACCTGATAAAGCACATTTTGAAAGGCAATGACAATGTAATTTCATGTTATAAAAGCATGCCTTGCATTTATCTATTTTTCAAAGCATATTTGTTTCCAAAACTTCATCAGATCCTCTTAGGCTTCTTTTTTTGATAAATGACCCACATTTTAAAGTGTTTTCTAAGCATAAAAACGAAAACATATTTTATTAATAATTATATAGTTTTTTAATAAATAAAAATTCTAAAATTTTTATTCTTTTTCTAGTTTTGTGTTCCTGACATGTGCTTACTTTTGTAGTCAACTCTTCTGAATTCTAGGCCATAAAGAGATCATTTTTATTCCCCAGCTGTAGAGGAGCCCTGAGCCTTTTTTCTAACTTGTTTCCTCTTCATCCTTGCTCTGTAGCTAGCAGTGACCTGTCCTCTTAACCCACCTGTCCTTCCCAGAGCGCCTTATGCACAAAGTGTCTGTGGAGTCCCCACACACCTAGTTCCGAACCCCCAGCTCGGTTACGTTGTAGCATTATGATCCTGAGCACGTTTCTATATCTGTAAAATGAGGATAATGATCATACCTATCTTGTATAATTATTGTAAAGATCAAATGAGATGTATACTGAAGAGACACAGTAAGCACGTAGTAAATGTTAGCTGTTATTATTTGTTGGCAGAAAGAATGAGCTCCGCTAACCAGCACTCCTTGCTAGTTTAGTCCACACGAAGCCGGTAAGACCTGGCGATTTGTTCATCGCCTAAAATCTAAGCCCCCTGACGGCAGAGTCAGTCTCGTTCGCCAGTACAGCCCCAGCACCTACTATTCACTGGCATATAACAGGTATTCAATAAATATTTATTGAATGAATGAATATGGGCAATACAGGCATCATTTCACTGATATTCCAATTTTATGGATGCAAAAAACCAAGTCTCAGAGAGCGTGACTTGTAGACAGACAGTTCTACAGTGGGTTAGAGAGGGATTAGGATGTGGTTCTCTTGCCTGGTTGTTTTTCTTTTCTACCCTATCACTTCCTGGAGCCTTTACCTCATGATCCAAAAACTGAAATGCAGTATCTTAGAAACTAAATGATAATTTCAAGGGCCCAAAACGATTCTGACATTTTAGAACCTACCGTGGTGTCCACAGCCTTGACTTTCTCTGTGGGAATGTACTTCGGAACAGACTCTTGCTGTGACAGCATCACACATCCTTCAGCACCTAAGGTGACAATTACGAGCCGGCAGCCTCTTTCCACAAGCACCTGCGCAGCCTTCCCAGCATCCCCCGGGCTGCTGACCGTGAAGCCGGTTAGAATCTCAGCCTAGAAGACACAGAATGAGAGGAGGCAGCGGTGAGAACAGTAAACGAGGTCCGCTTCCACGTTAGATTTGTTTTTCTAGAAAACGTCTCCCTAATTTTGTGTAACAACCAATGCCATGGAGAACTTTGATAGATGTTGGCTCAGGAAAATAAATATAGCAAAATATTAACACCTGTTTAGGTGAAGAGTTTATGAGTATTCATTGTATTGCTATTTCAGTTTTTCTCTGTGAATGTACAATAATTTTCATAACAAAGTGGCAAGGGGAATAAAGACAATCCTACAAAATAAAGAAAGGAAAGGGGGAGGGAGAAAAGAAGGGAAGGAGCCAGTGCCATGACTTTAGTGACATAAATCACAGCTGTGAACTGCACTTGTAAGGACAAAATTCCTCTAGGCCTCTCTTGGGCCGTATGCCTTTCTCATGACTCGTTACAGCTTTCATGTTTATACACCACCATTTCTTTGTTTGTTTTTGCTAGAGAAGACGAAGGCAGAGGAGGAGAGGCCCTGATACGCAGCGGTAAAAGCAACGAATGCCGTGACATTCAGGTCGCCACTACTTACTAACTCTGTGATCGTTCCTAGCCGTGAACGGTTTATACAAGGGGGGGCTTGCCCAGGATCAGCAGTTCTCTCCCAGAATACACTGCTGAGTTGGGGTGGAGGACTGGAGCCCTGCTCCTCACCCTCTAGGCAGCCCTCCAGCTTCTCCGAGGAGCCTCCATGGTTCTGAGATAGGTGGTTGAAAAAAATCACTGAACTAGATGAATTATATGATACTTTTTGACTCAAAAAATTTATTATCAAATTCCGTCTTTTCTGTATTAGAATGTAACCCGGGACTGACTCTTCCGAAGAATGGTTCTAGCCCTTTCTGTGCTTGCTTGGATTATACCCAGGTTAACCCGTTTTTTCTGACTCCCATAAATCACCCCACAGTGTCTGCTCATTCGGGTTTCAGTTTTCCTAGGAGCACAGGTCTCATTAACTTGAGCATGTCCTCTCTTACCATCTTTTCTTCTTTAAAAATTATATTTTATTGATTATGCTATTACAGTTGTCCTGATTTTTTCCCCTTTAGCCCTTCTCCACCCAGCACCCTCTACTCCCTCAGGCAATCCCCCCACCGTTGTTCATGTCCATGGATCATGTGTGTAAGTTGTTTGGCTGCTCCATTCCCTATACTTACTTTACATCCCCATTGCTATTGTGTTAACAACCTATTTGCACTCCTTAATCCCCTCACCTCTTCATCCATTCCTCAACATGCCCCTCCCATCTGACAATCATCAATTCTATATCCACAATTCTGTCTCTGTTCTTGTTTGCTTAGTATGTTTTTTAGATTCAATTGGTAGATTTGTATTTTTGTCATTTTATTCTTCATAGTTTTGATCTTCTTTTTATTAAATAAGTCCCTTTAACATTTCATATAATAATGGTTTGGTGTTGATAAACTCCTTTAGTTTTTTCTTATTTGGAATCGAAGGACTTTATCTGTCCTTCGATCCTAAACAATAGCTTTGCTGGGCAGAGCAATCTTGGCTGTAGATCCCTGCTTTTCATGACTTTAAATATTTCTTGCCAATCCCTTGTAGGCTGCAAAGTTTCTTTTGAGAAATCAGCTGACAGTCCTATGGGAACTCCCTTGTAGGTAACTAATTGCTTTTCTCTTGCTGCTTTGAAGATACTCTCTTTATCTTTAACCTTTGGCATTTTATATGATGTGTCTTGGAATGGGCCTCTTTGCATCCATCTTGTTTGGGACTCTCTGTGCTTCCTGGACTTGCATGTCTATTTCCTTCACCAAATTAGGGAAGTTTTCTTTCTTTATTTTTTCAAATAGATTTCCAGTTTCTTGCTCTTTCTCTTCTCCTTCTGGCATCCCTAATGACGCAAATGTTGGCACTCTTGAAGTTGTCCCAGAGGCTGCTTATACTATCCTCATCTTTTTTTATTCTTTTTTCTTCTTGTTGTTCTAATTGGTTGTTTTTTGCTTCCTGATGTTCCAAATCATTGATTTGATTTTCAGCTTCATCCACTGTACTGTTGTTTCCCTGTAAATTGTTCTTTATTTCAATTAGTGCATCCTTCATTACTGAATGGATCTTTCTTATGCTGCTGAGGTCCTCAATAAGTTAAATGAGCATCCTTATAACAGTGTTTTGACCTCTGCATCTGATAGATCACTTATCTCCATTTCATTTAGCTTCTTTTCTGGAGTTTTGATCTGCTCTTTCATTTGGGCCCTGTTTTTCTGTCTCCTCATTTTGGCAGCCTCCCTGTGTCTGTTTCTATATATTAGGTAGAGCTGCTTTGACTCTGTGTCTTGGTGTGTGGCCCAATGTAGTTAGGTGTCCTGTAGGGTCCAGTGACACAGCTTCCCCTATCACCCAAGCTGGGTACTTGAGGGGCATTTTTTGTGTGGGCTGAGTACAACCTCCTCTTGTAGTTGAGCCTTGGTTGCTGTTGGCAGATAATTGGGAGGGATTTACCCAGGCCAGCCAGCTGCAAGGATTGGCTGTTACCACTGACCACCAACCTCTGCCCTCCATGGAGCATCAGCTGTACATGGGCAGGGTGGTGGTGCTCCAGTGTGGTCTGTAGCTGTCCACTGTGTTTGCTGGCCCTGCAGTTTCCTGGGTGGTGCATGCTAAGGTCAGCCCCTACCTGTGTTTTGCCCAGGGCCACCCTGTCTGAGCTGTAAAGCAATCTGAGATGGCTGCTAGGCTTGTGCTAGGCTCGGAGATTCCCAGGTGAAGCTCAGTTCTCCCAGGGAGAAGCCCAGCTGTGAATCTAGGCTGGCTGCTGCTAGTGCTGGGCCTGGGGCTCACTGAGGCCAGCTGTTGCATGTTTGAGAGGATTCAGGAAGTTGCGAAGCTTGAGCTAAGACCAGTCATTCATAAGGAAAAGCAGCTTGGGTGGCTCTGTAAATTGAGTGGCGGGGGGGGGGGCGGTCTCTGGGGATCTTCAAGGTGGGTCAACAGTATCAGCCAGGCTGATGGAGTCTCAGATATGGCTCCAGCTTGCCAGCTCTGCAGGGGGAGGATTTAGAAAAGACAATATAGCCTCTGCTCGCCTTGATGCCAGGCACTTCAGTTTCTCTGTGTATATCGCTGGTGCCTTTCAAGCTGTTACCCAGGTCCTGGAGCTCAGAGGGAGTGAGTCTGAGTAGGTGAGTCCATGTGCGGGTTCTTTAAGAGGTACTGCTTGAGGTTCCAGAAGTTTCTTCCACTGACCCAATCCCTGCTGGCTTTTGCAGCCAGAAGTTGTGAAGACTTATTTTCCTGGTACTGAAACCCTGGGCTGGGGGGCCTGGAGTGGGGCTGGGACTCCTTGCTCCTGAGATATCCCTCCAGAATTTTTTTCCACTACCCGTGTATGAGGGACATCCAGTTCCCTGTCTGCGCCCCTCCTACCAGTCTGGATGGATGTGGTTTCTTTTAGTTCTGTAGTTGTCAGACTTCCTTTCAACTCGATTTCTGACGGTCCTGAGTGATGACTGTTCTATATGTTAGCTGTAATTTTGATGTGGTTGTGCACAGAGGTGAGCCATGCCTGCCTATGCTGCCTTCTTGACTGGAAGTCATCATCGTTTTTTCAATAGACCCTTTCAGTCAGAGTTCGTTATGCTTTCAGGTCACTTTTTTAAATTTTGTTTTTATGAGTTTTTCATTGCTTTTCTTACTGGGATCAGTTATATCTGTTGAGGTGGTCTGTTTTCAGAAGCACTGACTTCTTGTGGTTTCTAAAAACCTTTTTAAAAACTACTCTTTAATGAAAAATCTTGAACATAAAAAATAATGCTAAAAACACCCATGTACGCACCACCCACCTTCAACAAACCTTAACGTTCTACTTTATTCACTTCATATATTTTTATTTAAAAAAGGTAAATATCTTCCATGTATATTACTGGTATTTAGCAATATGTTTTTCCTTGACAGTATTTAAATTGTGTTGATATAGGTAGCTCTACCTTCTCCCTTCTTAAACTGCATAGCATTCCATATTGCAAATACACTATTTTGGAACAAAGTCTGTTCTCTTTTTCATGGACACTTGATTTTTCCTTTTTTCCCTTTTACAAGTAATGAAGTTCTGGATATTCTTATCACTTACATGTAATGTCTTTTTTTTCCTCTGGCTGTTAAAAATATTTTTGTCTTTATCTCTAATGTTAGGCAGTTCCACTAAATATGAGTTAGTAGAGAGTTACATCTATTTATCTCATGTGGTACCTTTAAAACACTTTTAGATCATGCCTTTTTTCAATTCTAGAAAATACCTTGCAGTTTCCCTCTAGTATTGCTTCTCTTCAGTTCCCTCCATTTTCTTCTTTCACTCCAATTAAATATATGTTGGGGCCTCATAAATTATCTCTTAGTTCTCTAAATTCCTTTTTAATATTTGAAAATAATTTTTCTCTGTGGCTCTTTTTAGGTGATTCGAGTTCTCCACTTCTGAACTGATCAAGCTTTTCTTTCAGTTCTCTAATTCTTCATTTTGGTCTAATGTTCATATTTCTAAAAAGTGTTTTACATTTTTTTCAATGGCTGTTTTCCATTTTCAAGACTTCTGATTGGTTTTCATATTCACATATCATTGCTTTGATTGTGTTTTTCCTTCATGATTTCTTCTCCTTTTTAAATGAACGGTAATCTTAATTCTACTTTTTTTAAAGGCTTTTTCACATTGCTTTCTTATTTGATTTCATTTTGTGCAAATTCATCTTTAGACTGTGGGTTTTGCTGAAGAACTTGCCGCACTGTGTTTCTTCCCTTGCGGGCTCACTGTGCTCACTGTGAGTTGGAGAGTCTTCACACTTCAGCTCCCACATGGCTTCCCTGCCTTTACAGGGTTTCCAGTTGCATCTGTCAGGCCTCTCAGGAGCTCCAAACCAGAGCCAGGCACTACATTGGCAGCACAGTGTTCCTGTTCTGGTGCTATTGGTGATAAGGCCAATCTAGTCACTAAAGTCAGCAGTTGGCTTGGTTTCTTTCTTGATCAGAGGTAGCATCTCTGTCCTCCTATGTCCTCAGGCTGGGAGCCTTGTGTAGGTTGTAGTCTCAGCAGCAGGAGTAGCTGCTTCCTCTGCCTCTTTTGTTAGCAGGAAGCCTGAGCTCAGCATCTCTGGTTTCTAGCAGTGGGCACTGTTCCAGGCTCCCATGAGTGGCACATGTTTAGTGCCCGTAAGTTACAGGAGGCCAACTTCCTACCACAATACCTGCTTCTAGGACCGGAGCAAACATACCCAGGGCTGAATGCTCTGTGATTCTGTTCCATTTCCAATGTGTGGAGTTGTTCTGAGCTTGTATCTTTTCCTTATTTCTTGTCATATTTATACATCAGTGGTTTGTGTGTGGAGCACAGAGACTATCTTAAACCATGACTTGACTTTATTATTCTGATTTAAAAGTCACCCATAAGAATGTTAATCTTGTAAAGTTTTCTTTCCATTACACTTTTCAGATCAATTTTCTTAAAGACCAGAGTTCGTTCATTTTTCATTCATTCATTCATTCTATAAGCATTTACTAGGTGCCAACTATGAGCCAGGTACAGAATAACAGACAATAATTTATAAAGATAACTGTGTCACTATATATAACATACATGCTCTTTTCACATAGTGACAATAACAATCTTCTGTTGAGAGTCAGGGGACTGGGGGGACTTTACTGCCTTAATTAATTGACTGGGTCAGAAGAGATGCTGTGTGACTTTCAAAGCTAGGTCATAAAAGCCAACATGTGTTCTGCCGAGATGTCCCTCTCCTCTCTCTCTGGATATTGGATCTTGAAACCCAGCTTCCATATTGTGAGGAAGCCCAGGCCACAAGGGGAGGCCATGTGTGAGTGTCCTGGCCGACAGCCAGCATTACATAGCAAGCATGTGAGGGAAGGAGGCTTCAGATGCTGCTGGCTTTCAGCCTTTGAGTCTTCCAGTCCCAGACGTCACAGAGGGGAGACAAGCGATGCTGTGCCCTGTGCCAATTCCTGATGCACAGAAACTGTGAGGGATAATACATAATGGCTGTTGTTGTAAGCCACTAAATTTTGGGGTACTTTATTGTATTACGCAGCAATAGATAATTATACACTTAGGGATAGACACTGAGGATACAGTAATGAATAAGGCAGGTATACCTGTCCTCACAGGACTAGTAATTTAATGAAGACAGAAGTATCAAGTAATTGGAGATGTGGTTAGTGTTTGAAGAATAGGTACAATGCTCTCTGTCAGTGTCCAGCAGGGAAACCTAAGGCCGTTTGGCAGTTGAGGGTAATCTAACCTCTTATTGTGCAATGGTCCCTGTCTCCCACAATTCCTTCTTCCTTATACAAAGCCTGGCCATGGTGGTTGCTCAAAAATATTGCGTAGTATACTGTGGTTAAAATTAGTTTCCTGTGGCAGTCTTCTTTCTTGTTTACTTTATGTTCTAAGAGATGAAATTAACAAAAAGGCAGGTCAAGAAATCCTAGAAATTGTCATTCAGCCTTCAAACCAAATGGAAAGTGACAGTATAGTTCATTAATTATTAACGTTGTCTCTCTGCATGTTGCATTGTGTAATGTGTCCTGCCTCCCAAAGTTGGTAGAGTGCTCCGGTCTAAAATTACCTACCTATAAGAGGGAGAAATATTAACATTATCTTTCTAAAATACTTCAGAATGAATGGCATAATATGCATATATTGATAGATATTTACTGCAGATCTGCACATTATGACCCTCAGCTGTATTGAGGGCGCTCCCCTAAGAGAGCGGCTCCTAAGGTCTTCCCATGGCATTGGTGGGAAACCCACGTCTGCCTTCCAGCGTAGTCACAGGATCTCCACAGTGGAATGTAGCAAAGGCACCGGGGGTTGTACATGAACTGGGGTTGCTAGATCAAATGCAAGGCACCCAGTCAAATTCGAATTTCAGATCAATGACTAATCGTTTTCTAGTATAAGTACATTGGTGTATTACTTGTGGCTTCTCTGAAATTCAAATTTAACTGGGTGTCCTATATTTTTATTTGCTAAATATGGCAACTCTCATACTAATCAGTCCATAGGCTATGGACACAGTCTACATAGGATATGGACTGATGAAAAAGGAAACCAAAACACCAGTGGTGCGAGGGCAGGGAGGGCACTACAGTTAGCTGGGGTGCGGTAGGTGCCAGGCTGTGGGGGTGGCTCAGGGAGTCCTTTCTCCCCCCAGGACTCGCTAATTTCCTTTCTTCACACCCCTGTCAACTGACAAGTCTTTTTTCACTGGGCACAAGAATTCACATGCGAGCAAACTGATGTGGTTAGTCCTTCTTTGCTTTACCATGTGCACGAAAGTCTGGTTTCTCACGGAATGATCACAACCGTCTACCCTCACCTCGCTTTCGTTGCAGCAGAACACATCTGAGAGGGTGTAGAACCGGGGGTCCAGGTCAGCGGTGGCAGGAGCTGGGTTGAACAATGTTTTCACTACAAAGGAATGGGAGAGGGGTTCAGTGTTTACCATTCTTAATGCGGTGCATTTGCAGACACATTCAGCAAGGGAAATCCCCAAGTCCAACCATTTCCCCCATTAGATTAAAAAGCAGCTTAGTGATATGAGATCTCAATCTCCACGATAGCCTAGTGTGAACTCCTTCTTATTTCCCTTTGTTCTACTCTCCATTCTACAACATTTCAGCTTCAAGGGTAAGTATCAATATTTATAGCCAAGGCGATTACAAAGTTATGGCAAAGGGCAACAAGAGGATTAAAGATGATTTTAAATGTTGTGGCATGAAAGGACATGTGTGAATGTGAATATGCAGGCTGGTGAACATTTTTGTGGGTCACTTTAAGTGCTCGGCAGGCTAGTTCATATACCCATTTTCCAGGAAAAGAAAAAAGAGATGATAGAAAAGAAACAAGCTCAAAATTTTCCTGGTAAGACTAGTAAGTAGGAAGTCCACATACATACACATGGATATTTTGAACCCCTATGTATGTCTTCCAAATATATCAGAATTACTCCTGCAAACATACACACGTACACAAAAGCTTCCACTCTTGGCTCTGTAAGCAATGTAAGAACACAAAGGAGAGACTGAGAAAGGAGGAGAAACTCAATCAGAGGCCGAGAGTGGGCTCAGGCTGGGAGACCGCGGGAGGATGGTGGATGGGAGGGCAGAAACAGGGCGAATGAAAGGAGGAAAGGGAGCCTCAGAGAGCTGAGGTCACAGTCTACGGCCATCGCTGGGACTTGGGTAAACTGGATCCCTAAAGCCAGAGATAGTCTAGCTTTACGTCCAGGGTTCGATTCTCTCTAAACTAGTTGCCTCTCTAGGCCAGGACTCCATCAATAGCAACACAAGCCCCCGATCCCAATTCATAATATTTTAAAACAGCCTTTGGTGTGACGTTTTGTATTTTTTCAGTCTTTAGACAGTATATTCAAAAGAAGATCCCTCCTTGTCAAAACACTTACCGGATTTTGCTGTGTATAATGTGCACTTTTTTGCCTAAATTTTTGAGGGAAAAATAAGGATGTGTACTATACAGGGGTAGTACTAATTCCGCATCTGTATGAATGTTTTTAGTTCTTTTATTTATGCTTATGCATTAAAAGTGTAACTCTAGAAAGCAATAATGTAAAATATGCAAAATAATACCCTGGAAAATGAGAATTGGTTAGGTTTCTAAATATAAATAAATAAAAAATTGAATTAAAAAATTAAAACAAAAGATTTTTTTCCTGAAAGTTTGGGCCAAAAACATGGGTGCGCATTATACATGGCCAAGTACGGTACTTATACACCAGGGTACCCAGCTAGACTGGTTGGTCCTCTTTTCCTCTACCCAGGTCCACTGACTTATGGGTTTAGTAACCCCAGTTTACCATAGACCCAAAGAGCAAAATTCTGAGAGACTCTTCCAGAACAGTGGTTCACAAACTTGGCTGCACATCGGCATCACTGAGAGCGCTTAATAAAATGTATGACTTCTGGGCTCCACCTCAAACCCACTGAATCAGTATCTCTTGGGGTTAAGACTGGGGGATGTGCACGCTGACAAGTTCCCCAAGTGGCTCTTCCAGAGCTCTCCTGGCACTGGCCCAGTCCACATTCTTGGGGAGATGCTGACCAGCACGTGGCTAAAAGAAACTGTCCACAAATTCTGCTTCTGCACCTTCTTTGATCTTAACATTTTGGTTTGGTCAGTGGATCTTGTCCCGTAGCTTACAGAATAATGCTATTCCCACGTTTTCATTATTAAAATAGTCCAGAATGTCCACCCATGGAAATTCTATGGTATATTTTTGGTTGCTCATATTTTTGCACAGGGCTGTTATGTAGCTTAAATTAGAAATGGGTGTAAAGTCCCTGTGTAAACTGTAAAGTGTTGTACAAATGTGAGGGATTATTACTGTCATTATATTGTCCTTTACACAGAGCCCGACACCCCCGCTTGTCCACCCATCTCTTCTGCCATCTGTTGGAGCTTGCAGCCTGGCAACAATCTCTCTCATGGGCTTTCTTGCTCTTGCAAGGTCTTAGAGATGTCAGTTATGCCCAGCATTCTCACACACCCATTTACGTTTTAGGCTTTCAGAACAAATCCATTGCTCCCTATTTTCCTTAAGCGTTATTTTGAGGGTCACCTACCTGACCCTCAGATTTGCGCTGAGCAGCATTTGGGCATAGGTTAGAGCGAGCTACCGGTATGGAACGGCAGGGCAGGGCCATTCTTACAAAAGTTCCATTTTGTCTCAAAAGATCCCTGATCCAGCAGTGCCTTTTCTAAACCTCTTCTACAGAAATGCACAGGCATCCAAAGACGTGCTACAGTGATGTTCATTCAGCTCTGTTTGTAACAAAAAAACAAAAGGAGACCCAAGCATCAAGCAGAGAAGATTGGTTAAAAAAAATTATGACATATACATCCAATGGAATACTCTGCTGCTATGCGAAAGAGTGAAGCAGATCTCTGATTTGTTACAGAAAGATTTATATAATTGATTGATAAATGAAGAATAAAATCTAGAGTATGATACCTTTTTTATTTTCTTAACAAGACAAATAAAACATCACTATTGGGTTGGCCAAGAACTTCATTTGTTTTTTACCATAAGATGTCTCTAGTAGAGCTTAGTGGTCTTTAACTTCATTTGAAACAATTGTTAGATTGTATTGTGATACTTGTCATATCAGTGTGCATTTTTTAAAAATTATCAAAATTGGTGAATTTTTGTGTAGCCATTTTATAAATACACAACACTTTTGGCACATTATGCTGTATTATTTCAAGAAAGGTAAAAACGCAACTGAAACGCAGAAAAAGATTTGTGCAGTGTATGGAGAAGGTGCTGTGACTGATCGAACGTGTCAAAAGTGGTTTGTGAAGTTTTGTGCTGGAGATTTCTCATTGGACGATGCTCCATGGTCAAGTAGACCAGTTTAAGTTGATAGTGACTGAATCTAGACATTAACTGAGAACAATCAACATTCTCCCATGCAGGAGATAGTCAACATACTCAAAATATCCAAATCAATAAAGTTACTGGTGAAAATGAAAAAATGTGTCTTTTATTTACAAAAAAAGAACTACTAAACTTCGCGACAGCATGGATGGAACTGGAGAGCATCATGCTAAGTGAAATAAGCCAGGGGGCGAACGACAAACACCATATGATCTCACCTATAAGCGGAACCTAACCAACAATACAAAGATGCAAGGAAAATAAGACCAGCAACACTAAAAGGAAAAGAAATCAACAGAGACAAGAGGGAAGGGGGGGGGGGGTGGGGAAAAGGAAGGGAAGGGGAAAGTCAGGGAACATAGAGCAAGGACTCATGGACAAAACCAAAGGGGAAGAGCTGAGGGAGGGAAGGAAGGAGGGGGCAAGGGAAGGTGGTGGGGGGTAGGCAGAGACAAATGTATTTGAAAAAATAAAACAACAAACAAACAAAACTAAAACTAAATGGACTTTTTGGCCAACCCATTATATGGGGTATTTATATTCATATGCTTACATAGAAGTCTTGAGAGGTTACTCACTAAACTAATAAGTGATTAATTACAAAAGTCTAATGGGAAAAATACCTGGTCAGATTACCTGTTGTACACCATGCAAAGACATCATTGTTAAAACATATTTACTTCAAAAACAAGTACACTGTGAATGAAATGATATCTTATTTTAAAATAGTCCAATGTTTCATTGCGGGGTGGAGAGTTAGGGTATAGATGAAGCAAGACTGGTCATGTGTCAATAGCTGTTGAAGGTAAATGATAGTAGATATGGATTTACCATAGTATTCTCTATATGTCTATGTATACTTAAAATTTTCCACAATAAAAACAAACCTAAAAAAATTTGCATTGGCTTTTAAGCAATAATTGCTGGAGTAAGGAATTCTACAATTTAATTTGACCATAAGTATTATATAAAAATCAATCAATCTTACTTGCTTGTATTTTACCGAGGGAAAGAATTCTTGCCAATAATAACTGACTATATACACTTAGGGTCTGATTAGTAACTACATTTAGGGGAAAAGTGAAAATGCCATAAAAAGGTCTCTCTTTGGCTCATGCTACCATAAATAAGAATAAGTACTTCACCATGGTGAAAAAAACATGAAGAATTAGTATAGTAGATGCAGCCAACCAAAGAAGAATGCAAATCTGTAACTGATGAGATAGAACCAAAGATGCCATCCTGGAACCGGGCAGAAGAGAGAACACAGGATGGACGGTGGAGCACCCGGGGCTGCGGAGGTGACTGACAGCACCCGACAGTCATCATTACTCCCTACAAAGTAAGATGGACTAAAATCCTGGTTGTCCGAAGAGCATGTCCACGGCTGGCACAACAATGTCAGTGAGGAACTAGAGAGGCCTGGAGGCAGTTGTACAGGTGCACAGTCAGGAACACAAGGCAGAAGCTCTTACGTCGCCATGGATGGCAGCGGCTGCACAGTCAAGAAGGCCCCAGTAACTAGCGCAGAGAAACGGGGAAGGGAATCACCCCAGGCAGGGCAACTGTGGGGAGGCCGGAGTGTGCACAATGCTGGCTTGGCGGCCTCTCAGTCTATGAGTTTTCTGTTGACTGGAGCAGAAAAAACCCCTCGAAGTTTGGGCAATGCGCTCGACAATGTTATTGTGAAAGTCCAGGTAGCCAGCCAAGAAGTTTTGTTTGGCAAATGGAAAAGGCCTAAAGTGGCATTAAAAGATATTTTGTGTCCTACCTAGAATTTAATCTTGGTGATTTTGCAAATCTCAATTATTTATAATTGTTCCTGTAGTGTTTCATTTGCTTTGAAATGGATATAAAGACCAGAACCAACAAGCTTAATTTCATCACAAGCAGCTGCAGCACCAGCTCTGCTGTGGGGCTTCCTCAGCATCGTGACCTAGAGAGGATGGGGGACCCTAGAGGGCTCACAGGTGATTTTTTGATGCTGCAGGTGCTGTCTCTTTAAAGTTGCTGCTTTTGTTTTGGTAAAGACAGCAAGAGGATCCCGAGACAGTATATACAAAGATGGAGGGGTTTTATTCCTCTTGTATTTTAACAACCGATATATGATCTAGTTATACAGTGTGTTTAATTCAAACTCCATTATTAGTTAAGTAGTACAGAGAAGGGAGCTGTGGCAATAAACCCACAGGTGATGAGGATGATGATGATTTTACCATCTTTCTTGTAAATGGAGTAATGCGATTAGTGTATATGCAGCCTTGTGGGGCAATGGGCAGGACGTTCAGTGCTCACAATAGATCTTTAAGCTCTGCCTGTTCTGCTCTGTGATCAATCCACTCGTACATCATCGCAGTAAAGAACTGTGAGAGCTCAGAGTCCAATTTTCAATTCACAGAAGAGCCTGAGGCCCAGAACAAGGAACTGACTGACTTGTCTGATGTCCCCCATTTGCTAAGTGATTGATTCTGAATTTAAAGCCATGCTTCATGACTCCCAATCCAGTGCCGCTTTCATTGTACTAGTCTTACATAAGAATGAAGATGCATTATATTCACACATACCCCCCTTCTCTTGGTATAGAATTTCAGCCGCATTTGGCTGGTAACAACCAAGTGGGGACCAGCTAAGTTCTGGACAGAGGAGTATGTGTACACATATGCTTGTGTGTGTGTATTTAATGGGGGTGGTTGGGGGACACATAGCTGAAAACACTCTGGGGTCCCTTCTCTGTGACTTAGGCAGCAAGATGCTCAAGAGATTAGGCTACATGTTGGACAATGTTACAATTTACAGATTTTACTTTTCTAGAGCTACTCTTCATAAAGACTCAGTTACTAGAAATCATGAGGACTTTAAAGTTTATTTTTTTAAAGTGTGGTCTAGGACACAAAACTTGAGTCTTGGAGCCTGAAATCCTGGTTTCTACACTGACCAAAAGCATGACTTTGGCTGAGCAAATTACTTAACCTCTCCAAGTATCAGCCTTCAATCTGGGAGAATACAGTGGCACCTCGGTTCTCAAACTTAATTCTTTCCTGAAGGTGGTTTGAGAAGTGATTTGTTCGAAAACTGAATCCTCCCCCTCCCCCCCCCGCCATTAGAAATACAGGTATCAGCATGAAAGGTTGTCAGGTCAAGAACTGAAGTTTTGTTTGACAGCTGAGACTTTTTTCCCATGAGCAACCTGGCTGAGCACCAAATTGTTTGAGATGGGAGTTGTTTGAGAACAGAGGCTTGACTCTACTACCTGCCATACCTTTGTCATAAGATTTTTCTGAGGATCAAATATATATGAAAGTATTTATAAGCTGTAAAGTACATACATATGCAAGGTATTATTATGTAAGATAATGCAGAATTAATACTTAGGCATGCTAGCTCTTCATAAAAATGTTAAGGAACCTAAGTGGTCTTTGGCCCACCATTACCTAACCCCCATCTGGGGCCCCTCGCCCTCCAGCCCCTCTGCTGGAGGAACTGCCTGTTAGGCGATGGAGGAAGCATTTCTGGACCCACCCAAATGGCGACCGAGGTCCGGCTGTCTGCCCGTGTGGATAACTCTAGCCTCACCTGAGAAAGTCTGGATCCTCAGCTGGGGTTGCTGTACCTTTCTCTCTTCCACAAGCTGGGGAGGGAACAGGTAACTAGACTAGGACAGAGGAAGCAGTGATCTCTGAGAAGCAAGGGTAGTAGGAAAAAAAGAGAAGTTACATAAGAATATGCTCTGATCTATACCAGGAAAGGCAAGGAGCCTGAAGGAGGGGGCAGATGCGTTCATATCGGCCAAGTGAGGTAGTGCAGGGCAGACAGTGCTTACTTACCATAAGCATTGGCTTTTGTCTGTGACACTCTTGAGAAAATGTAACCAAATGGGTTTTGAGTCAGAATTCTTTCTTACAGCTTCAAGTCCATTAAAAATGCATTAAATGTCAGTGAGAATTTGTCACGGCATCTTGGTTTTGCCATGAGGAAAATTTGTTAAATCAGGACATACATTTAAAAATTCTCCCTTACTGGTGTGGCTCAGTGAATTGAGTGCCGGCCTGCGAACCAAAGGGACACCGGTTCGATTCCCAGCCAGGGCATGTGCCTGGGTTGTGGGCCAAGTTCCTAGTAGGGTAGTGTGTGAGAGGCAACCACACATTGATGTTTCTCTCCCTCTCTTTCTCCTTCCCTTTCCCTCTCTCTAAATAAATAAATAAAGAAATCTCCACAAAATCATTTCAGTAACTTATTTTCCATTTATTGCTAGGTAGGACACTATATACTTTGGGAGAAATCACTTACATGAACACACACACTCACACTCACATACACACAGTGTTTTTTTTATTGTATCTTGATGAGAAAGTTTTATCTGGAAAAGCAATGTGGTTCTCTCTCTATGTTATTCTTAATGTGAATCAGAGAACCATTACAAATGAAGCCATTGTCTTAGAGTGGCTAGTTTTTATATTGATTTTTTTTGGCCAGATGGTGATGATAAGGATATTATCCAAATTTTAATTTAAAGAGAGAAGAAAACTGGGATTTACTGAAACTTACTACACCAGCTTGGCACCATATTTCATTTTATTCCATTCTTAGAATAATTCAGTGGGGGAGTATTTCTATATGCATTAAACAGAAAAGGCTCAGAAGAGTTCAGGTAGTTCTGCAAAGACCACAAAGCTAGCAAGGATTGGAAATGGGCTTCTAATTCAGAAGAGCAACAGACAGACAGAAACTATCTGTATTTTTCAAAGTCTGTCATCTTCTGGGGTGCAAGAGGGGGGCTGGAGGGGAGGACAGATGAAGCAAGATTAGCCAGGGGTCGATAAGTGTTGAAGCTGGACGATGGGTTTCATTATGTGATTCTGCCTGCTTTTGCATGCTAAGAAATTTCCAAAGTCAAAGGCCAAACGACACAAAAGAGCTGCTTAAAGGATCTTGACAACATAGAAAATACAGTAAAGCCTTATAAAAGGAGAAAGAACTGTCCTTTCATTTATAGAGCTGTTGATCAACATGTACGTGGACGGCGCTCACACCTGACCTGCAGCTCACCCACTGCTGCTCAGAATGGCAAGCGCTCCACTACCTGAAGTTCCACTACAGGGCCAATGGGCTGCTTCAGAGATTCTACTTACTGCTCTATCATTTCTGCTAATTAGACTGAAGATTTATACAGCAGGGTATCAGAAAGGCTGCCCATGTTGTTTTTACCCTATACGTAAGGTTTTCTAATATTATCAAGACCTGGAAGAAGACAGTGGATCTTACAGTTGGAAGAAGAATAGTTTGCTACAGAAAAGTATTGCTTGGCTTAAAAGGTTAACTTTAAAATAGAGATAAAAGCTTTTATAGAAAGAATGACAAGTATGTAAAATTCCCACCTCCACTGCCGTGGGCTATCGCTAGGGCTTCCAGAGACGTTGCTGGAGTTACTTCCAGCTGGCAGACCACCACCTTGGCTCTGCGGATGGCGCTGGCCGCTTCCCTCAGGTCTTCAGAATTCAACAGTAAATTTGCTCCAGCCACTATCACGATGATATTCTGGCCTATAAAGAATTTCGATGTATTTATATTAAAACCAAGCAAAGCCAAGCAATGATATTCTGCACTGTTACGATCCCTCTTACAAAGCCATGACACGAAATGTGTTGTAAGTATTAATTTTAACATTTTTAGGCCATTTGGGTTAAATTTCATATTCCTAAGGTAGCTTCTTTTCCAACATCTAAGATCCATATTATTCTAATTACTTTGAGCAAAATGATTTCCTCAATATTCTCATATACAAAGAATGCTAGCTAAGAAATGATATATAAAATACTTTCAAATTTTCTTTTATGGGAAATGGTTGGTACAATGTATGTGGCAAAGGTTCTTAATCCTAAATGACAGACGTCACAACGATGAGTATAAACAGGAATAAACATGCCTAACTTTACAACTAAGGCTCCGTAGTGTGCAATCAGTCCAAGGTCTACCCTGAGGTACTCTGTGAAGTGATTCTGTAAATCCAAACACATTTTGTAACATCTAGCAGATGGAAAATTGTGCTAAATAACATGGTGGAGAGAAGGACACGTGGCCTCGATGGTACCAGAGCAAACAGAAGCAGGACTCGGGAATCTTAGACAGGGTGGGGCAAAGGTAGGTTTATAATTGAGACTATCCATTTGTATTATTATTTACACATTATTGTATTGTTTTCCACACAAACAACTGTAAATCTACTTTTGCCCCACCCTGTATACCCTTCACGTGGACTCGTTCTCTATAATCCTACCTCATGTGGGAGGTGTGGTGGTGCATTGAACCTGTCAGGTGAGCTCTCAAGAGCTGTGCTGTCCCATATGACAAGCCATGTGTGCCTACTGAGCACCTGAAATGCGTTAGTCCAAAATGAAATGTGCTTTAATTGTACAATACACAGCAGATTTCAAGGACTGGGTACAAAGAAAAGGTAAACTACCTCCTTAATTTTTAAGGACTTTTTTGATTGCATGTTGAAAGGATAATATTTTGGATATATTGGGTTAAGGGAATATATTAAGATGAATTTTACCTGTTTCTGTTTACTTTTTAAAATGTAGCTAATGGAAAATTTAAAGTGTATGTGGCTTGCATCATGTTTCTATTGGACAGCACTAACACAGAGGGATAAATTGCAGCATTTTTTTTTTGTGCCGCAGGCTGCTCGTGCTGCTCTTGTGTAGACATGACCTAAAATTACCTCTGAACACAGAACACATGCTGGCCTATCATCTTACCACAGATGTGTTTGTTGGCCACAAGGAGGACTTAATAAAGTGCGGATGGTTCAGCATAAACCCAATCTTGGTACTGGAAAAATTCAAAATGCCCACACACTGAAAGACAGCATACCTCCTGCCTTTTCTCCTTCAGTGACCTCACTCTCTGCTAGTGTCAGCTGCTGCTTCTGCGTGGCTGAACCCTGAGTCCACATTTCTGGCCTGGCCTTGGCTGATGAGCAACAAGCCCAAGACATAGCTGTATGGTGGACATTGCCATGTGGCTAGCTCATTCATGCCTTAGCTGAACTTGTCACCAACTGACCTCCTTACTTTGCCTTGCTACTTATTTAAAGGAGGTGACTGTCACCTCTGGGCATTTGGATTAGCTCTTCTACTACAATCTATACATGCTCTATAAACCAGACAAATCTACCATCCTAGGCACTCAATACATAGTGTTAAATGATATCTTTGCACAGAAATGCAATATTTTGTACACAGATAAGGAAGAAACAGAACCTGAAGATATCCCTAGAATACAAAAAAGAGGTTTAAGGCAGGGAATGAACTGCTGTTGGCAACAATAATTACTTAAGAGGTAGCTTAAAGTAATGAACACAGACTACTGTTTGAATAGAAACTTTAATCTACTGTCTTTACATGGAACACTGTTTTTTTTTGTCCTTTTGTTATTGCAAGTTGGGGATCAGTAATGGTAAAAATATCATGTCTCCTGTGAGAAATGATCTTGAGAAGCTGCATTATAAATTAAAGACATGTTGCAACAAATCCTAATTTAACACAATGCACGCTGATGGCCCATAATGCACTAGGTTCTGCGTCCTAGATGCCCCATGAAATGTTTGGCCCTTCTGAGCATTAATTCTGATTTTAAAAATCTTATGGAGCTGTTTTATACTTAAAATAGTTGGCAGAAATTATGAAAACTTTACTTGAAGGTAAAGGGAAGTTACTCTTTTCAAAGACAACTGTTTGACTGTGGCAAGGCCTTGTGACAGACATAATTGTATATATAGACTTTTGAGATTTGATTGCTGTTTAAAGAGCAGACAACATGGAACACTAACGATATGTTACAAGTAATTAGTTGCTGCCATTTGCTCAGTAAATATTCTATAAATATGATTCATCAACTTTCTTTTGCACCTATCTATTTACATTTATTTACCTGGTGTAACTGAAATGACAGATGTAAACTGCTTTTAGAGACAAATATCAATTCTGAGTTCACATGAAGGGTAATGGATGTTACAGGATATAAATATTATTCTGAGGCAACTGTATTGCTTCATATGTATTTGATGGACAATTTTATATTTGAATGATCAATCTGGGATGTGTAAATAATGGGAAATATTTAATATTTAGGTTGGAAAGACCATGCTTTAGGCCTGGTGGGTATGGTAATAGATCCTTAAGATCAGGATAAAAATTGATGCTTCTGCTCTAGTTCTGGAAATGAACTGTTTTATTAAATGACACTTCAATAGGCAAAACACATACCTTCTTTATTGACAATTATTGAAGCAGTTCCTGTAGCAGCATCTTCAGTCTGATACGTAAATTCTAAAAGAAAAAAGAAATTAAAATCACATATACACAGCCTGGCATGGATAATTTACTTTAACAATTTCAATGCATCACTAATCCTTAGAAAACTTTTTTAACCTTTAACCATCTGGAATGATAAAAAAGAAGTAAGTAATTAGTGCTAATTTATACTCATCACCTATACAATGAGGAAAATAGAAGCCTTCACACTTACTTGCACCTTTCCTCTGCATTAGTAACAACCCAGCAAACCACCCCCGCTTCCAAGTCCTCCCAGTTACTCATAGTTGTATACATATGCATTTTTCTACACTACCATATTTCTTCAGTGAAAGGAATGACAGAGTTGAGACGAAAGACTAAAGGTCAAACCTATAAAATCAACGTGTTTGTTTTTCTTCATTCTCATAAGCTTTGCATCTCATCAAGAATCAGGGCCTGGCTCGCACATGCTAACGCTGATCACGCAGCCCTTGGCAGCTGCAAAGGGCCTTGCCTGGAGCTGGAGGCCTGCTTTCTAGTCTCAGCTGTGGCTCCACCTTGCTGGGAGCCCTTGGACAAATGCAGAATCTCTCTGGCCTTATATTTCCTTCTTTTGTGAAATCATAGTATCAGCCTCAACAGTTTCTAAAATAATTTCCAGCTGTGATAGTCAATGACTTTCCTTAAAATATCTTTTGTGAATGTAGCACCTATTTTCTCTTGTCACCCGCTTCTGAAACATTTCCATGAGATCAAGGTTTGTAACCTCCTATTATTTTATTCCCATCTGGAGGAACATACACGAAAGAATTAACTATAGGCTATTTAAGCAAGACTACCAAGGCTGTGCATAAAAATTCCCTGGTCACCAGGGGAAGATCTAATAATTATATTCTATATTTACTTTTCTTGTAATCAGATCACAGAAGTTATAAAAATCAACTTTAAAAAAGATGAAGTTTTACCTGTAGAAATACCATTCTGCTTTAAGTTTTCTATATAATCATTGCCAAAAGAATCTTTGCCAACCTGTACCAAAGAAATGATGAATGTTAGATCTTTTACATTTAGGAAAATGCTACAATGTAGTTTTTAGAATACTTAGCATTTTGAAAGGGCATATCTGCACAGTACTTTATAAACATTAACTAATTAATCATCTTAATGTAAGCTGAAAGACTTGATTTCAGCCCAAAGAATTGTTATACACTAATGTTCTACTTATATCCTGCCTAAAATGTGAAGCATTTAATGATTCTCACCAGTTCTATAGTTCATTTTCATTTTGATCTGTTCATGTGAAAATTCCTACTGAGAAAGAGCTGTCCACCATCGAAAGGCCTCAATATTTATGAAGAATCTCAGTTGTTTGTACTTTACTATAAATGACAGCATCTTTGTAATGATTTGTCATGTGTTTTAGAATCTTATCTTCCCCCCTGACCGTGGCATGGAGCACAAAAGGGAGGGAATATAAAAACCCTTGCTGGCCCTGGCTGTGTAGCTCTGTTGGTTAGAGCATCGTTCCAATACACCACGGGTGCAGGTCCGATATCTGGTCAGGGCACATACAAGAATCAACCAAAGAATGCATAAATGGAACAACAAATTGATATTTTTCTCTCTCTCTCTCTCATCAATACAAAAAAGCCCTAGTTAACCTGGTATAGTGGAATTCTGTTGTTTTTGCTTGCATCCTTGCATGCATCCTGGTAACGACACTTCAGTTTTTACTTCACACATGCATTCCTCTTCCATTCATAGGCAACACGAGTAGGGTGACACAGTTGTTAAAATCAATGAACCTATGTTAACACACCAATTCCACAGTTCACATCAGGGTTCACTCTGGTGGAGTGCATTCTATGGGTTTGACAAGCGTACAGGTGTGAATACGCAATTATATCATCATACAGAACAGTTTCACTGCCCTAAAAATCCTCTGTGCTCTGTGCATTCATCACTGTCTGCTCCCTAGCCCCTGGCAACTACTGATCTTTTTACTGTCTCTATTGTTTTGTCTTTTCCAGAATGTCATTTCACTGGAATCATTCCTGAACTCTACTCCTATTTTTCTGTCCTGCAGGTGAGCTCTACTTCAGTGGATCATATCTCCATCCAGGTCTCAGCTCTTCCACAGAAAATCATTCCTCTCTGGATATATCAACAGAAAGCAATCTAGACATTTATTTGGGTCAAGATCCTCAATGAGTGACGATAAAATTTGGTGGTGACCTTTTGGCCTGTCTAGATCAGGGGGGTTGGACTTTTTTTTGGTAAAGGTCCAAATAGTTAACATTTTAGACTTTGTAGGCCATACTGTTCCTTTTGCAACAATTCACCCCTGCCATTGTAGTGTGCAAGTGGCCAAAGAAAATATGCCAACAAATGGAGGTTGCTGTGTTCTAATAAAACTATTTACAAAGATATGCAGTGGCCATATTTGCTGACCCGTGATTTAAATGTCACTTCTGATGTTCCCCAAAGAACACTTTTGCCTGTGCTCCTTTTCTGGCTCAGATTCTGATTAGTCAATAATTTCAAACAATATATAATAACTTCTTCTTAGCAGAATTTCTGTCTTTACAACGAAGAGTGTGCACTACAAAGTGTTCCTATAAGGAGAGTTCCCTGGTGGAAGAAGGTCATCTACCAAAGATTTCCTTCATGGAAAGCTGGCCATTCATTTATCTAGCAGTTAAGTGCCAAAGCATCCTATTCCTTAGGTCAAAGATTCACAGCAGAAACAAGTTCCTTGTTCTTTCATTTTTTTTTTTTTTTGACATTATTTAACTCTCTCCTGTGGGCAATCAGGGTGTTATACAGTTAGTAAAGTATCATTATAAGAATGTTCTGGGGATTAAGAAAAGGCCATCCCTAGGCATGTGGGCACGATACAAATTAGAGCAAAGAAACTTCTCTTTCCTATCAGTTTTATATAGGCAAAACCTGTTTAAGGTGACTATCAAGGGCAGGTGATAACTGGTGGTAATGAAATAAACATTAAGAAGTACACAGGTTAGGAAGAATTGTTGGAAGGGTGGAGGACACCTAAAAATGTGCAGCTTTGCCTTCAAGAAACTGATAACATTGGAGGGAAATAAGACATAGCAGGTGGACAAGCATGCGCATCAGAGGCACACCTGGGAAGGGATTTCATGCTCAGGGTAACTGCATTTTGCAGGCTTGCCACCCCTGTGTTTAAGAGGCTGCAGTAGCTGCCTGTTCTTTTCCTGCTCAGAGCATCATCTGATCGGTTATATCCCGATGATGGCTATGGTTCCAGGTTTATTCCAACAGTGATTTCCTGGCAAGTCTGTTGGCTGGCCTTCTAAACTCTATGTGAGACGTGGGACAAAATACGTTGTTTTTGCCTTCTTTGATATTCCCTTATCAAAAATAAAAACCTGGTAACTAAAAAAAATAATGGGAAAGTAACAACACTACTGAGAATTAAGAGAAGACAACCCCAGCTCTGTTACCTTTACATCATCTGGGTCACAGCGGTACATTACAAAGTAAAAGAAGTGATGAAGAGCCCACGAGTAGGAAGACAGTGTTTTTGTGTCATGGAGGCCCTTCACGCCAGCTGTGTGATTTTGGACGAGCCACTTAATTCTCTGTAGGCCTCAGTGTCTTTATCTGGAAAGTCACACAAGCTAGCTGAAGATGAAATAAAATAATATGCATGAAAGTACATTTAAAGCTGTAAGGGATTAGGTGGGGGTTCGGTGCCATCATCAGCATCATCGCCACCAGGCTGCTTCCCCCGGGGGGAAGGGCAGGCCTCCTGCTGCCTGGGTTCAGTCTTAGAAGCTACTGGCTCTCCTGGTGCTTCAGTCCTTCCTGTTGCTTCCTAGTTTCGAACAGAAGAGCATTTGATCATGGAAGGGAAGCATGTGGGCACATTAAATTATTTTTAAAATGAGACTATATTTATTACTGTTATTATTCTAACAAAAACATAACATCTCTTTAATGCTTGGGTGAAACTAATGCTTTTCAGGGTACTATGTATCCTGTTACTTTCATGAGAAGAGTACAGACAACTGGGAGGGCATCTCTGCCTTGGGAGTAATATTTAAGCTTTAAGTAGATCTAAATCACATTTCAGAATGTGGACAGAAAGCAATGGAGAGCTGAGGCCTCTTTAAAAGGAGCCTCTTTTTCTTTCTGCAGTGGCGAGTTGCACAGATGACACGTGCAACACAACACTAAAGGAACACCCTCTTCCCTGTCTCTCTGCCCCCGAGACCTCTCACACGTTCGTTTATTCTTCTGGAGCTATTTTTTAAAAGGGTGCGAGAAGTGAACACCCTCCAGTCCCATTTGCTTACCTCTGGCTCACATTTAAGCCTCTTCCCCAATAATTGGGATTTGATAACCAGAAATCAGAGGAGGAGAACCCACGCTTTTTCTCCTCAGAGCTTGTCATTCACAGCTTGTCATTCATAGTGTCATTCAAGTTTGCCATTGAGAGCGAGTGCAAGCGTCTTGTAAATGACAGTGAATGAAAGGTCCTTGACTAATAAGGACTATTATAAAGGAACCTTCATAGGTGTCTTTGGAGGCTTCCCTATTTTCCTGGTCACATGTTCCCTATCAGGCTGACATGAAAACTTTAAGTATCTTGGCCCTGAGGCAAAATGGTACATATGGGAGTCAAGAAACCTCGAATCTAATTTCAGTTCTGCTGTTATCAAGCTAATTAAAATTCTTTGCTATATTTTGCAGCAAAGTGTTCCATCTGAGCCAGGCTGTAGGGTGGGACTGACGTGAGTTATCTCTGGCGGGCAGGAAGCCAACAGTTCTCAACCTTAGCTGCTCATCAGAATCTTGGGGGAGCTTGCAAACATCCTGGTGCCCAGGTTATACCCCAGACCAATTCAATTGGACCCCCTTCAGGTGGGACCGGGGCACGCCCCCCAGGTGACTGCCATGTGTGGCCTCCCAGTGAGGACCACTGGTTGCAGGATTAAAGCAGGGAGCGTGTCGGCAAAGGTTCGTGTGTGTGGGAGAAACGAGCAGCGAGAGCACAGGCTGGCCTGGCATGAGGCTGGTAAGTCGCTAAGTAGGAACATGGGGAAGTGTGGCCTGCAGAATCGGCTGGTGGCGGGAGCCCAGCAGGGCCCAACGCTGGGATCAGGGTGCTGCGGAGCCCACAAGATGGCTTTGGCCTGTGTTTGCTGGCTCTAGGCTCACTTTGATGTGGCCCAGACTTGTTCCCCTTGCCTCGTTAGCCTCTATCCTTCTAAAACTCTTATTTGGCAAAATTAGTTTGGTTTATGTTTTTCAGAGTGGTCAGTAGAGGCACTGTTAGCTTGACCTTACCATTTGACGGTGTTAAAACACTGAGTACAATATATTCATGTCTATTTCTTTGCCTTAGGAAAACTTCGAAATCCTTTCCTCTCTCCTCCACTTACTCAAACCTCACCTGTTTTTCAAGCACCAGCTTAAGGCCTACCTTTCCTATTTAGCCCTTGTTAATCATTTTATTTTCAGAACTCACATAGCATTCCTATTAGATGCTATCTAATTAAGCATTTAACTGAACACCACCTTATATTGTTTGCCTAAGCAATCTTCCTTAAACCTAGTCTTCCTACAAGCCTATTAGAGACTCTCGCTTAGCATCCATTTATCTGTCCTTAAGCCTAGTGCTTTAGAGGTGTTTTCTGAGTATTTGATCATTTTAGTTCCCTGTCTGTTCATTTTTCTTGGGCTTCTTTATCATTCTTAAAAAGACATGACTACAGGCACCCATGTTGTTCTAGTTATGGCTGCAGAATGGTTTTTTCCAAGGCTTTGCCTCTAATAACCCTCTTGAAGGAACTCCAATACTCTTTCAGAGGCAGTGGTGAGGCAGGCATTTCTGGGCAAAAAGATTCTGGGAAAATGGCATGCTCCGAGGTAGCCCATGTGTAACGCTTCCAGGTGAAAGGATCCAAGTCATCAGCGACTGAGGACAACCACTCGCACTCAGGCTAAGGGAACTCACATGGCCCCCGGTGCTCCGAGTGCTGCAGAGTTGCGCCGCTGAATGGAACCTTCTGCCTTTGTGACATGTTCCATATCTCTGCTGTGCAATACAGACACTTAAAATGCAGCAGTGTGATTGAGGAACTCAATTTTTAATTTAATTTTAATTGCACTTAAATCTAAATAGCCAAATGTAGCTAGTAGGTACTCTGTTGGACAGTGCAGCTTAGGGGGATGTGAGTGAGGATCATGGAAAACAAAAGGGTGGGGTTTCCTCCAGCTGAGGGTCCTGAGGTGCTTCCTTCCCTCTTACCACGGGGAAGGCGCTCTCTGCCTTGAGGGAGAGCCAGCCAGTGGCCTCCGCAGTGCAGAACGGTGGTCTAACGCTGAGCAGGGTAGCTCCAGTTACCAGGATCAAAATAAACATCTACATTTCACAGCGATTGAGGAATGGCTGCTTGGAATCTTTGAATGCCAGAAAACATCTAGCGATTCCCCCATCAACATATACTTGAGGTAAAGAGAACGTAGAGGACCAAGATATCTTACCTAAAGTAAGATATCTTGAATATTCTGCTAAAAATGTTATCATATATATTAAAACAGGTTACAGATTTTCAAAGTTAGGATATATGCAAATATAATTAACACTAAAACTAAGATGATTCAAGAAATTTTGTGACTTTCAGTGTCTGAGGGCCAAAATGAACAGCAGGTTTAAGACACTAAGCTGCTTTTGTTGTCACGTAACAAAACCCAGCAGTTGCTCTTTTTAAAATCCTCACTCAAAGATATGCTTTTATTGGTTTTAGAGAGAGAGGGAAGGCGGAGGGGAGAGAGAGAGAAACATTGACATGAAACACTGATCGTGGCCTCCTGTATGCGCCCCAACCAGGGATCAAAACTGCAACCCAGGCATGTGCCTGACAGGGAATCAAACCACAAGCCTTTGGTGTGCGGGGCAACACCACTCTAACCAGCAGGGCCGCCAGCCAGGGCAGCAGTTGCTTTTTTGAATAAATCCCTCATATTAACATTTTAACTTGTCATTTGTGGCTTTATCATAAAACATGAAAGAAAAATACATAAAATCCCAGCTGTTGAAGCTTGCTGGTTGTTTAAATCCCAGATAAATGGGTGTCTACTTTAGCAATGGCCTTTAATATACAAAGTTAATGTTATAGCCACCATTGTCGGGCCTACTTATCTGAGAGTGGTGGTGGTTTGTGATAATTTAATTATTTCTTCCATTCTTTCTGTATGAGGCATATTTTATCTCTTTGGTTAGGGTCATTTATTTGGACTTATGGCCAGGCATTGCGGTCAACAGTGCCAACTAGTTTTAGCCAGTCGTCTTTCAACAGGGTTCAGGAAAGGAGAGATTTCACTTTATTGTATATTATCTAGAAAGGCCAGGTGACTAATTTTTGATCTTTGAAAATTAAAATCTCAAAAGACGTCCATTTTCTGTCATCTCTCTCTGGATTTATAATCTCAAAATATCTCCAATTATCCTTGGCCCATGACTCAGTTAAATACTAACTACACAACTCTTAACCACTTGAAGTGTTTCATTATTTGCGTTTCACTACATGCATATATCGGTGGACTCCGTCTTAACAGTCCCTTGCCACAGTATTTGGACAAATATTTTGCCTTAGCTCAATATAAGATGTTTTGCATGTGCCATCAAACAATCTTACTCCATCAGAGCCTGAATTTTAGTTTGTTGCATGGCAGTAATAGGTAAATTAAAGCTGCTAAGAAAACCATAGGAAATTTTCTGTTTTTTACTTTGTTCCATCTGTTCAATTTTATCTTGATTAATTTCATGATTTTGGTCTCTACTTAGAACTTTTCATCTTTAAAACACTGCCATAAAGCAGTTTGGCTAATTTGCTTAATAAAAATGTATTTCACAATGGGAAGAAATATCATGATTAATGGATAACAATAACTACCATTATAAAAATTGGATGCCCAATTTTTATATGCCCAATTGGAAAAAAAATTGGATTTTATTTTTCTTGTTAAGAAGTCTAGGAATATTATGCATTTCATCTTAAATAAATCCATATCTAAATGTCCCAGGTTACCTAAGCAAAGTAAGCCTGTACAGGTTTTAGCTGAAGCCATTGTTTTCTTATCCTCTCTGTACAGATTCCCAGGTGAATGCCACGCTGCGGCTAAGCGCTAGACGACGAAATCAGGGGCACGTTAGACATAAATTGGACAGGTACTGACACAAACTATCACACACAGACTGGAATGAAATAAAAAGCACCTTTGCTTTAATCAGTCTCTTAACTGGAACACTTGCCCAAATACAGCTCTCTGTCTTCCATTCCTCTTACGTCTATTCCTATGGTTTCACGATTCATTTCCCAAGTTCAGCTCCACAATTCAAATGTTTCTATTTTTCATTTTTCTCTTTGCCTCAAAGTCAACAGACCTAAAATAAAACCAATTCCCAAACCTTCGAGTCGGGTGAGATACTTACTAGGGGGCATCCAATTTTGACTTTAATGGCTAAATGAATCACTTTTACAGAACTTCCAGGGCGGGGCTCCCTCACCTCTCCATTCACAGCTCCAGCTCTAGGGACCTCCCCCTGCTCCGTGGCTCCTCTCGCTGCCTTGCTTCCAATACCAGTTCTCTGTCCAGGTTTCCCAGCCGGGAAACAATGCCCTCTGTCCAGTTTCCAAGCCCCCTTAAGTTCGCACCATCTGATTAGTCCTCAAACCCTCCATTTCTAATCAAGTATAAGATGAGGCTTAACGTTTTCATTTATTTTTGTTTATTTTTTTTCATTTTTTTTCTTTTTCTTTATTTATTTTTAAATACATTTGTCTCTGCCTCCCCCCCACCACTTTCTGTTTATTATTTTTTAAATCCTCACCCGAGGATATGTTTATTGATTGATTGAGAGAGAGAGAGAGAGAGAGACATCGATGTGAGAGAGAAATATCTGTTCTGTATGTGCCCTGACCGGGGATTGAACCTGCAGCTTAGGTATGTGCCCTGACCAGGGATCAAATCCTCCATCTTTTGGTGTAGGAGATGCTGCTCCAACCAACTGAGTCACTCAGGGCAGGCCTAACATGTTTTTTTAATTTTCTTTTTTAAAGATTTTATGTATTTACTTTTAGAGAGAGGATGAGGGAGGGAGAAAGAGAGGGAGACAAATATCAGTGTGTGGTTGCCTCTCACATGCCCTCCACCAGGGACCCGGCCCATAACCCAGGCATGTGTCCTGACTGGGAATCGAACCAGTGACCCTTTGGTTTGCAGGATGGCGCTTAATCCACTGAGCCACACTAGCCAGGACAGGCCTAACATTTTTAAGTGGCTCCTTCTCCAAGCCCCATATTCCTAGCAAATAACAGGCCACCAGTAATTAATCGCCAATTAAGTGATATTTTAAATCTATAAAGAGCTTAACCTTAGCAAATGAGGGTTTATGATAAATCTTGTGCTTCATGAGATGTTTTTGACCAAATAGACAGATGAAAATTATATAATGTTAATCATAAATTAGAAATAAAGTTATAGTTCATTAGTACATGAAATGATAATTGTATAGTTTATGCATCATTTAAAGATTCCCATTGAGCACAAGTGCTGTATACAATGGGAAGTGACATTTCAGATAAATTTTGGTAAAATCTAACCAATTCACAGCAGAGAGTTCATTCCTTTAAATTTCTCTTATTTCTTCTTATCCTCTACTGTGTAGAATCAGTCTAGCTCTCCTAAAATAAATAAACTATCTCTCCTGCTATACCAGTAACAACAGCATTTAAAAATTTCATTAAAGATGCAGAAGTTGAACCTTTGGCAGCCAATTTAGTTTTATTTATTTTCAGATAATGTCAGTAGATGGATGGAAATAGGAGTACTGTATTTTGCATTCCTTTACATATCTGAAAACAAAACTATGCCTAAAGATCAGTGATGTGTAGTTTAGTAAGGCCCAGATTTCCTCCTGATCCAAGATATAGCATCAGAGGAAAACAGCATAGAGATGAGTAAATTACCAATTATTAAACCAAGTTTCCAAAGGCTGTGTTGCTGCAGTAAATCCTGCTAAAAACAGAATGACTCATGCTGTTGTTTAGAAGCTGGACTAGAAAAACCCATCAGAGTAGACTAATTCTCCTTGCTTCTCATACTCATTGAATTCAGGGAACACAGCATTGAGTTATTCGATGACTGCTACTTCCCAGAGGATTCAGTGAGGTAGAAATTAATATTAAAAAAACAAGGAAGATTACTCTCTCCTATTTAAATATCTTAAAAACAATGAACTTTTAAAAGAATTAAACAGGTATTCGAACGAGGACACATACATGTATGTTTATAGCAGCATTGTTCACAGCAGCCAAAAGGAGGAAAAGGAGGAAAAGGTGTCCACCAGTAGGTAGATGGAGAAACAAACTGTGGCAGACACAATGGAGTATTGTTCAGCCACAAAAGGAGTGAAGTACTGATACATGCTCTCAGGCAGATGAGCCTAAAAACATTATGCTAAGTGAGAGAAGCCAGACACAAAATGTCACATCACATGATTCCATTTATAGGAAAACTTCAGAAATAGATAAATCCATAGAGACAGGATGTAGATTGGTGGTTGCCAAGGGGCTGAGGAGAGGGGGAAATGGGGAGAAAGTGCTTAATATAAGGAGTTTTATTTTGGAATGATGGAAATGTTCTGGAACTAGATAGAAGTGGTGGTTGTGCAACACTGTGATTGTACCAAGTGTCACTGAATTGTTCACTTTAAAGTAGTTTAAAAAGTAAAAACAATGAACTCAAGCCTTAAAACCATATTCTTACAATACCTTTAGAATACTCGCCACCGTGCTTTACACCTACCTTGCACACCATGGATGTCTTTGCTCCAAGCCTGGCCGCCTGAACACACTGGTTGGCACCTTTCCCTCCAAAGCCAATAAAGAACTTATGTCCGTGGATGGTTTCTCCGGTTTTTGGCAAACGAGAAGTAAGGCTATCAAAATTTTAAGAGACAGAAAAAAAGCACATTGGTAACTGCAGTCAATTTAAGTTCTTCAGAAGAGAGAGGGAAGGTTCTCTGATGGAGCTCTAAGCAGTCAGAACTGCAAGCAGAAGCAGGGAAGGGCGCCTTTTCCTTTAAGAGAACACTCAGTGGTTTGCATCATGGCTGAGAACACATATGCTTGACAGAATTGCTCTCCCCCACTGCCCTGCGCTACCGCTACGGCACTCCGCTTCAGTAGCTCTGCTTCAGATGGCGGTTCCTAGCGTCTGTGCTGCCTCAGGTTGTTCCTGGGTGCCTGTTTTCCATCTTGGGGAACTCGCAGAGCGCAGTAACTTCATATTCCCCCTTCTCAGTGCCCAGCACCACGCTTTATTCACAGTTGGACTTAATAAATGGGACCAAGTTAATGTGTGTTTCTGTCCAGGTTTATCTGGTCACTTTAGTACAAAGCAGGAAGGGGACCAGGGTCCTGGCAATCATGTCTAGGACCTAAGAGGAAGACGGAAGTTGCAATTCCAGGCAATAAAGAATCTCATTTGCTTCTTTGGGGGTGGGCTGCTGGGAGTGGGGTATTTCGATGGCAGTTTCAGGTTTTCATCCTAATCCATCCTGTATAGCAGCAGTCCCCAACCTTTTTGGCACCAGGGACCGGTTTTGTGGAAGACAACTTTTCCACAGACCGGGGTAGGGAGGATGGTCTCAGGATGATTCAAGTGCCTTACATTCAAGCTCACCTCCTGCTATGCGGCCCGATTCCTAACAGGCCCGGAGGCTGGGGACCCCGCTACAGTACCCATTTCCTGAGCTGCCTTGAAAAAAGGCACCTATTCAAAAAAATGAATTCTGAAGACCTGTTTAGTTTTAAATTTTTACTACAGAAAAACCCAAACATATAAAACTAGAGGAAAGAGTATTGATTTCCCCTATACCCATCACCCAGGTTCAACTATTGTCAACTCAGCCGATCTTGTTTCAGTCTGTACCTCCATCAGCCTCTCCAAGACCTGACGGTTTTTACTGACAGGTTATTCTTGACATGTTACTGCCTAACATGTCAGGAATAACCTATTACTGACAGCATTAAATGAGACCAAAAGTAAAAGGTTTACCCCAGTACATGATTTGCAAAACATCAAAGGTAGAAGACGTGGGGAAACAAAATCTTTGAAGGACAGAAGACTTCAAAGTGGAAAAGGAGTTCTGGGTGGAGAGGCCCGTGAAGAAGAGGGGCTCAGTGGCGTGAGGACTGGTTTCCGGGCCACACAGAAGAGCGCCAAGGGCTCCGTGGAGCGCAGGGAGGGACGGGAGGTGGGACCCAAAGGTTAGTTAGCTCTAGGAAGAAGAGAAAGGCTGAGAGAGATGGTCAGTCAACTGAGAACCCATTTTATTTTAGCATATTAGAAATTTACATTCATTTCCCACAGAGGCTGTGATCTCTCTGAAACCAGTATCTTCTTATGTGAGAGGAACAGAACAGTGCCAATTCCTACAGGTCACTAACAGCCTGTTTGCAATGGGATGCCCTAAGACTGTTGACAAGGACATATGATTGTGTCAATAAAGACCAAGTTCAACCTGTGGATCTCATATATGTAGTTCTGAAAGTGTCAGTAAATTAAGCTAAACTACTCCATTCCCTAGCACGGCACTGTCAAATATGGTTACTTGAGATTCAAGAGATTCATCAATAATTTGAAAACATCCCACTCTACTCCTCCCCTTTTCAATTCTATTTTTATCTCAGATTCTAAATGCATTTATAGTACTGATGAAAAAAATATACATCTACAAGGTTCACTTCTGAAAAAGGTACTCAATCAAGAGAAAAATGGTTTTAATGTAATGTTATTATCCTGTCATTTAATTTAGCAATGACAAGTGATGATGAGATTTTGATTTGCATCAGAAATCTTAAACATTTTAGGATTCTGTTATGAACAGGCAATGATGAGTAATCTGTGTGATTGAGTAACTATGTGAATTCTTATCTTATTGACGCGACTTCAAACAACATTCATAACAACTTAAAAAAGAAAAAAAACCCATCCAATGTGGCTAAAAAACAGGCCAAATAATTTAATTAGTAAGAACATCACTAAAGAAACTTATGACTTCCACTCTATTTCTCATATACTTAGATCTGGGTCATCATTCACTGGTTTGAATCAAGTGTATTTTTATTATCAACTGTGGGAAATTGTGAAAAATATATCACCATATTATTATTGGGAAGTACATGTATGTGGGGGACGAGAGAAACTGGGAAGAGTGTGTACGTGTTTGATGTGGGAGCAGGTGGCTGGGGTTTAAACGACGTGTATTAACACAAGCACTGCACTGATTTAGCCATTACTGAAATTCCTCAGTCCTTGGGAATTCTATTTTCTTTTCATTTCCTTCTGCATCTTTGCCTTACCCTTCTCGCTTTCTTCCCTCAATTGTAGACTTTCCCTGCATGAGGACAGGAACCAAGTCTATCGTGTTCCCCACTTTACCATTAGTGCCTGTCACTTGACACGGGGTTCACATTTGCTGACTGAACAAATCTTTGTAAGTATCCTCCCTTATTTCTCGAGGGCAGCAGAATATGCCACCCCAAAATATGACTGTAGGAGACCAGGCCATGCCACCCTGAAACATGCCGCTTTGGCATGTTGATGACTTGGAGCTGTAGGCTCTTGAGAGACAGCCAGTGTGGGCAGAGGCCTCACCTGTACTTCCCTTACCTGCCTAAAGATGGGTCCTCCAGAAGGAATTTAAGCACCACAAGTCCCCTCCCCGGGAGTGTCATCAACCAGGGAAGACTGACTCTGGTCACAGGAGAGGAGACCAGAAGTCGACACCACCCCCAGACAAACTTTGTCACAAACCATCAGATCTGCCATCTCTTCCACCCACCCATTCACTTTTCCTAAGTCACTCACTCTCCCCTAACAGGCCTACCTCTCCCTCCCCTTTGTCTATTAAAATGGAATTTAATCCTGAATTTCAAGTCACCTTGGGGAGTTACTCATTTTTTCCCAGGTTTCTCCCATGTATACCTGAGGGATACATGTTAATAGACTCTTGTTAGTTTTTCTCTTATTAATCGTTTATTACAGGGGTCTTGGTCAAAGAACTCAAGAAGGGTGGAGGGAAAATTATTTTCTTTTCCTACATTTCTTTCCCATGTCTCATTTGTGTGGTCTCCATTCTTCTGAATGGAGGCTGTGGAAGTGTTGATGAATGAGAAGGAGGAGGAGACTGGCAGGGATGACTGTTCCATTGTCTGGCAATGACAAATCTGTTTTACCAGACTGTGCCCACTGCATTCCCAGTGTTAGCAGCGTTCCTCTTCTATAAGCAAGAACTCCATCTAGAACTCATACTATCATTCCTTCATCAATGCATTGATTCAACAAATGTCAAGTCAGTGTTTTCCAATGTACCTCCTAGAGGGCAAAATCAACTTGCTGACAATCGGTAAAACCTAACCACAATGCAATTAATACATGAGTTAAAAAAACACATGTCACGGAACAAGGAGATTTGTATGTTCTGATTCATGTTTTTTAAAAGCAAAAGATATATGAGGTCTGTCCAGAAGGTATCCAGCCATGTACTATGAAAAATAGAGACATTTATTGAATAAGATACAAGAAACACTGTACTTAGGACAACGATGCCTCAGTCCCCTTGTAGGCACTTTGGGACCTCACACAGCTCTCCCAATTGCCATCAGCTGCCCCATTGTATTTTCCTGAATCTCATGAATGGTCTGAATAGTTTCTGTGGCGGAATAGTCAAGCTTAACACAAAATTTCATGCAGGTTTGTTGCTCTGCTCACTCAGTCATTTTGCATATCATGGCCACACAGTACACATGCTCACTCAACAGCGTCTACTGCCCCCACTGACTAGTACAGTGAAGTCGTCATTGTTCATGTATTCGCATTCCAGTCCACTGTAACTTGGCTGCCAGTTCAATTAATGTCATGCAAATTGTTCTTTCTGTATTAACAATGGCTGGACTTTTTCCAGACAGACCTCATATGTATATGTTCTCAGATTATATGTAAATGCATAGACAATGAAATGTGAATGACGAGTATCCCTAAGAAGTGTGGGGGTGGAGAGCAAAAGTTCATGTTTTACTCCATATGCTTGTGCACAGAAGCATATGCAACAAGAATAGAGTTGTGTGTTTTGGGAGACCACTTGTTACTACTTGAGAGTCATCGGCCCTCCTTGCCTCCTTTTGCAGTTGCTGGTTCTTCTGGGGCTCCAGATGGCTTCTTGCATGTGTAACCTAACAGCACCTTGCCCAGTGCCCCTCTCTTTCCACTCCTGGGTTTCTGTTTCCTTGTTAGGGTTCTTCAGGCTGTCCTGCAGGACTGAGCAACCAGTTGTCCGCATGGGCTGCCAACCTGAACACATCAAGCACCTTTGTATGGGCACTTTCCACTCCTGTGCTGCACTTTCCCTGTCCCTTGCTTTTGCTCCTTGAATCAGAGCCCTGAATAGAGTATGTGCACTTAAGTCTTTGTCTTACACTCTGTTTTCTGTTAAGCCCACACTAAGACAGTTTATTCCTTGTGTATTTTTTAATAAAAGTAAATGGAGAATGGAAAATGGAGTGGAGAGCAACTAGAAAGTTAGTTACAAACAGGCAGAAGCATTTCCCAAATGTAAATCTTAATTTACTTTAAATTAGGCTTTCCTATCTTTCTTCTTTAATGAAATCATGAAATTAAGGTCTGGATCAAGGACTGGCATGAACACCATCCTCTGGATAAAAGCATTATTATGATTAATCTCAATTAGAATATTTTTATTTATTTATTTTTAGAGAGGGGAAGGGAGGGAGAAAGAGAGGGAAATATCAGTGTGTAGTTGCATCTAGTGTGCCCCCTGCTGGGGACCTGGCCTGCAACCCAGGCACGTGCCCTACACTGGGAATTGAACCAGTGACCAAACCTTTGGTTTGCAGGTCAGTGCTCAATCCATTG